AAAAAAAAAAAAAAAAATAATAATAATAATAATAACATCATTGCTAAGAGAGCACCGTCTAAAAAAATACTTTCCTTTCATTCTTTCCCAAAGGCTCGACTTAAATAACATCATTTTTCCCCTTTTTCAAGGGTTTCCACGTAAAATCTCTGGTGTCTCTTTAGAACGTTACACCCTCTCTCTTATCTGTGTGTAAGCTGGATCTTCGTAACACTAAGATGTTAAACTTCATATTTCTCTACCACTGCGAATATCCCAGGACGCAACAAAAATCATTGCAGATATGTTGGAATCTCTTAAAAATAAAAGGCCCCATTTGGAGTCACTTCATGAATTTCAAGGGAGTCTCAAGTCTAAGCTGATGTCCAAGTTCTTATTTGTCTTAGATGACATTTGGGAGAAGGAAGAGGAGCAAGATAAAAAAGATATATAAGCTGAAACTATGTAACCTTTTCCACACAGATTCTTTGGGGAATAGAGGCTTCGCAAGAAGGAAAAGGCTGCAGGGAATTGAGCCACATCGAATTTATCTCACAAAAGGTTGAGCTAACTTGCAGAAACCAGTGCTCTACCTCAATGGGAAATGAAATCAGCACATCATCCTCCTTGATTTCCAACATTTGGATTTGGAAAGATTTCAGGAACATTGCAGGTACTGCCTTTAGATGAGAAGGTGCCGAAAACCTTAAACCAAACAACAAACTAAAAAAACTGAGAAATGATGTATTTATTTGACAAGCACAAGCTCAAGCCTTCGCCGTAACATCAAGCAAGTAAATAATAATAATAATAATAATAAAGCTTTATTGAATATTTTTCTGCTTTTGCTGGCAAGCTTCCCTTATCTTCTAATGAATTGATAACATTAAAGTCCAAAAGACCTCACATGCAGAAAGACATAAATAGCTTTGTCTGCCACTTAATATTCTTGCTTTTTCACAAAACTCCAAAAGCTCGTCAATATTTGCAGTCCGCAAGCATCAGTAATTGACATTAACCACAATTAAGTGGAGTGTTTGCTACTTGGAAAACAAGAAGCCGATAAGGGTGCGTTCCATCATGAAATCCATGAAGAAAAGACTTCTCAAAATTGGCAAACGTGCACTCAAAACTAATCCCAACTTGAAGCGACTGGAGGAGGCTGTGCAGAAACTTAATAGAGTTTCAACAAATGGTGTTTATACTTTCTTTCATCTTGTACAACACGGAAAGCAGGAGCTTCAGAAGCAGCAGCTTGAGCTGCATCGAGCCCGTGAAGCAGGATATTTGCCTAAAAATGATCTCATTGGGCCGAGAAATTATTGTGTGCCGATTCCGAACGTGTTCGGAGGCGAATCTGGGCATGTCACATCACTAGGGACCAGGGCATCTAGTGACGTGGTGCATCCGAATTCATCTCCAAATGCATTCGAATTTCGCGCACAATAATTTCTCAATTGGACGGGTCAAGGATAAGGAGTCTGTTGTGCGGTGGTCGAGGAAGCCATCAAATGAGCATCAGGGAACTGATTTGTACATAAACATTTCTCTTCTATCTATAGTGGGCCATGGTGGTACAGGGAAGACAACTCTCTTGCAACATGTTTATAAAGATGAAATTACGAAGGAATTTGATCTTAAAATGTGGGTTTGTATTTCCAACAACTTTGATGTGAAAAAAGTCATTGCAGATATGTTGGAATGTCTTAAGAAGGAGAGGCCTCGTTCGGAAAATAGCGGAAATGAATATCAAGATTTGATGTGAAAAAAGTCATTGCAGAAATGGACGAAGTTGCTCTCCCCTCTGGCTTATGGGAATATCGGTAGTAGAATTTTGGTAACAACTCGAATGGACTCGGTTGCAATGTTGATTGAAAAGGTCATTACAAAAGTGGTGGAAATAGTTAGATTAGAGGGCTTGTAGGAAGATGAGTGTTTGCTGCTAGTTTGCTGCTCCTTAAGTCTTATGCATTTGCTGGTGTAGAGAATCCCCCTGAAAATTTAAGAGACATTGCTGGAGAGATGGTTAAAAAGCTTTTAGGATCTCCATTGGCTGCGAAGGTCATTGGTGGTGTCCTAAGAGACAAATTGGATGAATCGCATTGGAGGAAAGTTCTAGAAAGCAATTTATTGGATGATAATTATATCCATTCCATCTTAAGATTGAGCTATATATTTCTGCCAAATCCTCTACAAAATTGTTTTGCATTTTGTTGTAAATTTCCACAATATCATCAATTTAATAGAGATGATTTACTCCAAATGTGGATTTCATTCAGCCACCTCAAGGAATGACTATGGAGGATTTCGGAGGAAGGTATTTTGATGTTTTACTCAAAAAAGTTTTATTTGACAAGGTCAAATATGACTGCATTGTCAGAGATGACTACAAGATGCATGATTTAATACATGAGTCAGCATCTAAATTTTTTGCACAGGAATGCGTTGATGCTTTGGATGATGAAAGGTCATTTCTCGAAATTTCTGAGACTATTCGACACTTGTCTGTTTTAAATGCAAAGCCATACATCTTAAGAAAGATTGAGA